CTTTAATCAACAAAACAATAATGCTAATAAACGATTTTCTCAAAATAATGTGCCACCAACTTATCAACCAGGAGGATTTAATCCAAGATTGAATTATAATCGTTCTAATACTGATCCAAATCTTATGCAAAATATGCAAAATTATAATCCACAGCCAATTTATCAACAACCATATGCTAATAACAATGTTATGCCTCAGCGTCCTCTAATATCTCAATACGCTATGACTGAAGCTCATAACACTAACATGAACCAAGGAATGGTGGCAGCAGTTCAACAGCAACAATTTCCTAGTCATGCTTCCAATGCAAACTATCCTTCTGGAATGAACAATCATTTTCAACAGCAACATCTGTACCCCACTGTGAATGCTGGTCAATCACAAACATATCCTAACATTAGTCAACATTTAATGCAAAACAATTTTAATGGTAATCAACAACAATTCAAACCAATCGTACATCCACCATCTAACATTAATGCTCAGCCTATGGCACCGTCTAACATGAATGCTCAGCCTATGACACCGTCTAACATGAACGCTCGGCCTATGACACCGTCTAACATGAATGCTCAGCCTATGACACCGTCTAACATGAATGCTCAGCCTATGACACCGTCTAACATGAATGCTCAGCCTATGAAACCATCCAACATGAGTGCTCAGCCTATGATAAATGTATCCACAACAAATACTTCTCCACCTTTCCTGCAATCGGTCCCTAACTCTGGATATTCTACCAACAATACTATGAGTAATCTTAATCAGCAAGGTTTGGGAGGTAATTTTAATCAACAAGTTACGGGAAGTAATCAGTTTCCAGGAAGTAATTATAACCAACAAGCTCCAGGAAATAACTTTAATCAACCAGTTTCAGTGAACAATTTTACTCAAGTTCCGGTAAATAAGGCCAACCAACAAGTTGTAGGGAGTCATATTAACCAAGTTCCAGGAAGCAACGTTAATCAAGTTTTAGGGAGTCATGTTAACCAAGTTCCAGGAAGCAATGTTAATCAAGTTTTAGGGAGTCATGCTAACCAAGTTCCAGGAAACAACGTTAATCAAGTTTTAGGGAGTAATGTTAACCAACAAGCGCCGATAAATTATCATGTAGATAATGTGCAGTGTACGTACCATTTTAATTCATTTTAATAATTGTTATTAAGTTTCTAATTTCGTAAAATACAAGCATTTATTTGTGATGTTTATAGATCAAGGCATACAACCATCTGGCTCTCCAAATAATATTTTAATCGTTAGTATTTATTTTATAATACATTTTAAATATATATGTATGTCGTGCTTGAAGTTAAATCTGTTAAAATTTCTAGCTAATACGTGCAAGATGATCTAATTTCAAGGACTAATTTCAATCATGTGCAATTTTAGGCGGGTGTCAACTTCAGGCACGACGTATATTATCAATGTGTCTTTAAATTCTATTTTAAAACTTTTAAACCTTTTTACTCTATTAAAAATAGGGTCATTCCTACACTGGATGCGCACAAATACTAGACAAATATGCTGTTATCAACAAAGGTGAAAAACCTGCCAAATGCCATGCTGGTTATCACGCTGGATTAGGTAACATTGAAGGCTTAAAATATCATCTATCCTGTGGTGAAAGTATTACTAGCACATATGAATTTAAAGATACAAACGATTATTTATGTATTATAGTCGCAAAGTATTGTACTGATATTAAAATGGTTGAAGAAATTTTTAACTTGTTAAGATATCCTAGCGGTCCGTTGAATGATCCTAATAAACAGCCCAATCTCTCATGGGTTTCGGCAAAGGGCCAAAGAACAGTGTTACATTATTTATCTACAAATGCAAATTTAACAAGTGATATAGATATTTCAAAAGAAAAAAAGAAAACAGCAGATGCAGATGAAATTTCAGAAGGTCAAACGAAACTGAATAGGTTTCATAATCACATTAAGAAAGTGATAGAATTCCTAGTTCATAATAAATGTGATATAAATGCAAAAGATGAGAAAGGATACACTGTCTTGAGTCTTTATTTGGCCAAGACAACGTTTCAGGCGGGATTCACAAAAGTTGTTGAAATCCTATTGAATAATGGTGCAGATCCAAATGTTAGCCTTACCGTTAAGGTTAAAAGTCTTAGCAAAGGATCTAGTGCGAAATTTGAAATACCCCATACGACGGGTAACAACGAAAGTACGAGTAATCCTGGGGCGGCAGAGGGTACTACATTTCCAAATATGTTATACTTGGCAATCTGGAACAGATGGCCAATTAGAGTTCTCAATTTACTGAAAGAACATAAGGTGGATATAGATACGGAATACGAGAATTTAGGTAATTTATGTAATTTGTTGAATATGTGTTTACCGAAGTCAAAAAATGGAAAAGGTAGTCAAGTTTCCTATATGGAGGGATTAGAATGGGTATTGAATAATGTACCAAAAGTATGCAGTAATGAGAATTTAATAGCAGTAAAAAAACAGACCGAAAAGAATAGTGAAGAACGGAAACTGATCAAAAAGAAAATAGGAAAGAAGAAGAATTGGTTAGGTTTTTAAGTTGAAATCCAAAAAAAAAATTGTACATATTCTAGAAAGATTG